GAAAATAAAAAACAACATTTATCAAAACTCATTACATTAGATCTTATTATTAAACCAATAGTAAAAATCTAAATTGTTTTTTAAGCATTTTTGTCACTCTGATTCAATAGCTGACATTGTACTTTGGCACTCAGTGCAAATGACAAGCAACTTGCTATGTTTGGTATTTTCTCAATGTGTTTATGAAAGTCAGCCATTTTGAATTAAAATAAACTTAAATTATTTTTATTCACATTGATTATTATATCTATATTATAAATAATAAATGTGGTCACATTATAGTTATTTTTAAAATAAAAAAAACCAAATAAATATTTGTAAAATTTAAAAAAAATGTAATTAATACTGTGGGGTGTTTGGACACCCTACTGAAAACTGTTGTTTTTCTCTTACTGGAATTTCTGCAGCATCGTAGTAATTTCTGAGCATGCTCTATACATAAAATCATGAAGCTACTGAAGAGGACACAAATATTTCTTGTGAAATCTATGAATAGTGCAACTTTTAAAACGTTAGGGGTGGCGAAACACCCCACTTCACTAGCCCAGGGTTAAACTAACCCCCCAAAATAACAAAACACCCAGAACAAAAAATCATCGTATATAAATATACTAACTAAAAATCAGTTATACTTATATACTAGTTTTTAGTTTAACTTTAGTTTTCGGAGACTTAAGCATGATGTAATCGCCAGATTTTTTTGTACCTTTGTCGTGTAAATGTTATGTATTATTTTATTATCATTATTTACAGGTGTGATATGTATAATTGTAAACTTAAATATTTACAATTATAAATTTGTCAAAATAAAGCACAAGCATTTGTTAACAAGCAACGAAAAAATAAGATTTGGTTGAATATATCACTAACTCTCGACTGACTTCTCGGAAGAGAAGTCAGTCGAAAGTTATCTGCTAGAATATAGTAATATCTATAGACCAATCTGCTAGAATATAGTAATATCTATAGTTAAATCTTATTATTTCATATTTATGGTGCATGTATTCCCGGCGTGGAGCTAAGTGATACAGAATTGTAGATACACTCACACAGAAAATTGGATGCACCCTCCTTATCAAGTTCATCAGCTCTGTCATTAACATAATTTCCTTGATGACTTCTAATCCACATCTAAACATACCGATCATTAGAGTTAATTGCGCACATATTCATCGAATGGATAATGGGATGGGTATTCTCGCTATCATCCAGCGGAAAAAACAAGCAACAGAGTCAGTGTAGATACTGATGCATTGTCAATAAGTGCAATTATTGCACCATTCGACAGCACAGAGTATAGCACACTATTCAGCCTGAAAGACTGCCGTCTTCCTGAAGATGGCTTTGCCGGAAGATAGAGGCTGAGTAGTAAACAAAGGCCATTAGTGAGAGGATTGTATTTCACCAATAGCGAACTTCCTCCTTAGAAAAATTTTGGCCAAGAACAGTGGGAAAGTTTGGTACAATTTCACAACGGAAAAGCAGCTAAGTCCAAGATTTTATCTTGATTTTCACTATAATTGAGTGCTTACGTAGATAAAGACGAAAACCTGTTCTCACAAAAACACAAATAAAAGAGCGATGGAAGTGGGCCCAACAGCACAAATGCCGGATACAGCGGCAGTGAAAGCAGGTTGTTTATAATGATCACGAAAGTTTCGAGTCTGCATTAAAAGCAATTAGAAAAATTAAGTCATCAGAAAAAGAGAAGAGGCATTCAATTATGACTGTGTATTGCGCAGTATAAAAGTCTCAGCAAAGATTATAGTGTGGGGTTGCGTGTTAGTGAAAGTGTGAGAAATTTTCCTTTTAATTATCAAAGGGGATCAATGAATGCAGCGAAATACTTACAAATTCGTGACGAAAATCTGCTACCATCATTAAAAATTTACTATATCACGAACTATTATTTTCTATATCAATAAAAAATATTCTAAGATTTNAGAAGAGGCATTCAATTATGACTGTGTATTGCGCAGTATAAAAGTCTCAGCAAAGATTATAGTGTGGGGTTGCGTGTTAGTGAAAGTGTGAGAAATTTTCCTTTTAATTATCAAAGGGGATCAATGAATGCAGCGAAATACTTACAAATTCGTGACGAAAATCTGCTACCATCATTAAAAATGTACTATATCACGAACTATTATTTTCTATATCAATAAAAAATATTCTAAAAAAAATCGATGGAGTCAGATAATCTATTATTTACCGTATTGTACTATTTATTAGTACACGGAAAACTACTAGTTTTCCATTCGTTTCTGACTTTTGGAGGCTTAATAAATCCCGAGTCTGTAGACTGGTATTATTTTCTAGCAGAATAGTGCAGTTGCCACACTTCTAACATCGTCGACACTTGGCTGTCCCAACGTAATATGAAAACATTAAAATGTCCGTTTATCAGTTCTGGCTTTTCCCTATAAAGAATATGTAGTGTGGAATTAAAAACGTGTTAAGAAAAGTCCTCAAGAAATTGTGGATGGTTTAATCAAAAAGTCAAGTAACTTTGGTGTGAAATGAGGACCAAGCTCTTGTTGACACAACGAACGATCGTACGAGAACTATTGTATAAGTCAATTGTAAAAGTACTTACTTATAATCAGAGTTTAGCGATGTAAAATAATCATAAGTATAAAAGATTTTTCTCATCGATATTACTGAAGATATATTAAATCGACTTTTTAAATGACTTTTTGTCCGAAATGTTTTTCTCGAGATTATATAATACACCGGCGAAATTTACGGGTTTACGTGGTATACATTAGTCAAACGTGTTGTTTAGAAATTGTATTTAACTTACATTTTGGAATTTGCCGACGTCGTTTGCTAAAAGATTTACCATTTGTCCTACATTCGATCTTTCCAGAGACGAAGGACTTAGCCTAATTGCCTGAAAATGAAGTTTCATATAGAATGAATATTTTCAGAAAATTACATCATCATTAAATAAAAAAATACCTATAACACTTAATATAGTTCTCAAACAAACTAATTGATTAAATTTTTTAGCAATAATATAGAATTGTCTAAGTTATAAATCATCATCAATGCGTCCAAAATGTATAAGCCTATATAGATATTTAAAAAAAACAGATTGTATTAACGTTTATACAGATTGTGAAACTATAAATCAATGATCTGTTAAGATAATAAGAACAATTCCTGAAAATGATATATTAAAACAAATTTCGAAAAACGCAACTAATTTTGTATTTAATTTGCTTTCTTTCTAAAACCAAATGTATATTTAAATTAGAGATGTAATTAAATACTACAATTCATTTCTATAGGCTTATTCAAAACTGTTTAACATTCGATAAGCGTAAGATAATTTTATTACAGGTTTTTGCATAAAAGGCAGAATTCGGTTAAGACAAATTGTAATATTTTTAATGTTTTTACTTCTGTTAGAAGTTTGCTTACTTTTATTACAGTAATTATTATTATTACTACTACAACTTCTTTCGCTGCGTCGAATAAGTCTTCTATAGAGCCAAAACGTGGTGCTCACGTATACAACTATAGTAATATATAGACAAAAAGTAATTTGTTAATACAGAATTAGTGTAGCCACACATAGTCAGTGCATCCGGACAAATCTAATCCATAATTCTCACAATAAATATCTTGCATACTAATGCCAGTAATCAAAGCAATTTTTCATCATTAACACGAAAACCTGCTCATGATCATACCAGTACTGTATATTTTAACTTTTGACAGTAATAGCGACTACTAAAAATACAAATACAGAAAGTGCAATACTATGGACTCGTGTTAATTACATTTAATTGAAATAAAACTCACGACTTCCTTGCATTTCAGTTGTCGATAACGTTTTCGCGACGTATTGTTTACCAATAAAAAGAGATATTGCTGTACGAACAAAAGAAAAAAACATGAAATATCTCAGTTCCCATTTCATAAAAACTTGAAAAGCATCATGAATGAAATTGAAGATCGTAAAGAAACAGAACTGGTATTGAGAAGAGCATTCACCATTTACAGACTTCTTAAAAATGACAAAGAAAAAACAAATAAAAAAGCACAAGCAGGAGTTTATAGAATTCCCTACGAAAACTAACAGTTGGGAGTCAAAAAAGAATACATCCGAGTCTGAAAGAAAATCGCGAAGTACAGATTAAACAACATAAACACAACAGCAAGAAAGAATAGTGTTACATGGTGTTTCCATCCATGGCACAAGGGAAACGCTCAACTGCAAAATGAGAGAAGACCGACATCATAAAACCGGAGCACTCACTATCGTTAGCGATGAGTGCCGAAAAGATAGAAAATCCAGAAGCAAAATGATGGACGGGTGTCTGAACGATAACCTGGTCATGAGATACATCGGTTCCGTGTTTTCGATTGTTATTTCCCTGGATATTTGTACCGAACTTGGATTCTATTACATCGCTGGATTCATGATTTCAAGAACTACTAGTGAGTAAAATTATTTCGAATCTGGTCAAGTACTTTTCGAGTTATATTCGTCCGAAGTTTCGGCCTTTGTCGGTCCCCATCGGGCCCTTCCGCTTGAGACTGTACTGTCATCTCGACGGCTTTATATAGCCCAGAAGATCAGTATTAAGTGCTGTAAGTTTGGTTCATGTACGTCTATTGCTAGTGGTGAAACTGCCGTCTGGTTTTACCATTAGACAAAGGCTTTGTCTCACACCACGTGCTCGGTCTATCTAGCCGGCGCGGCTTAGCCGTTCGGCGCGCAGTGTTTTTCAGCTATTAAATTCCACTCTGGACGTAATATTCCAGCTCTCCAGTAAATTGTGCTGATCATCGTCTGTGTAACCGGCGTGCTATTCGTGTCTAGCCGTTCGTTTAACCGGCATCGTTCTACGCTCTCGTCAACTGGTGCTTTGGTCAGCCTTTACACCAGGTCATCCAACTAGTCCGTTTCCAATGCGCTGTCTGTACAGTTTTTCCCAGTGAGATGTCAAGCAGCAAGGGCATCATCAACGAAAACCCGCCGAGTAGCCCAACCCCATCTGGGGATGGCTCTGTAAATATGGACTTTATAGAAGAAAAGCTAATTTCCAACATTCATTCCCATTTGGAAACTATCATGCTTAATGTTCCGACAAACAGTGGTATTGCTGTTAAAAGTGGGGAAAGGGCTCTGGTTCGCAAAGCAGCAATCAAAATGCATGCTGCAGCGAACCAGCTCTTTGGAATTATTCTCAAAATGAGACAAAAGCAGGCGAAGGTTGTAACTCAGTCAAGGGCTCCATTGTACTCCGATGTGGTCAAACGCAACGCTAGAAATATAAGAAGGGATACCAAACTGATAAATTCTGCTGTAGGTAAGCTAGTAGGAGGTAGCGTGTGACAAGTTGAGGACCACAGCCTAATTATCTCGGCTAATGTGGGTCAGCACGAACCGAGGATGGTGGCTGAAGAATTGATGGCGGTCCTGCAAGGCAATATTTCCCCTAAAGAAATAAGATTAAATGTGGGGATGATCCGGCCTCTACCCAGTGGGGACATCGATATTAAGGTAAAATCTATAGAAGATATGAAAGCCTTGAAAGGAGCTATTGAACGTAACACCCAGTTGGCAGAAAAAATAGAAGTAAAAGTGAAGAGGAAAAGAGTCCCCAAAATCATTCTTCTGAATTTGCCAAAGGACATGACAGGTAGTGAAATGATGGAGCAACTCTATCTACAAAATTCCATTATCTGTGAGCACTACTCGAAAGAGGCATTCCAGAAAGCCTGCTCGTTAGATAAATTTATCACCCCTGAAAATGGAGGAGAGATACAACATGCAATACTGACGGTGTCCGCCAACCTTCGGCTCACCCTCATTGAAGATGGTAGAGTGGCCATTGGCTGGAACTCCATTCGGGTGGACGACCACATCCCAGTTACCAGATGTTTTAACTGTTGCGGCTTTGGCCATATCTCGACCAAGTGCGACCTGAGAAAAAAGTGTAGTCACTGTGGGCATAAACACCGCCTGAGGGCGTGCCCAAACCAAGATAGGGACCGTAAGTGCACAAACTGTGCGAATTACAACAAGTGCAACTCGCAGAACAGGCAATTGGACATGGTTCACAACTCTTTCGCGGCCAACTGCCCGTGTCTCGAGTGGTACAAGGCACAAGTGATATCGAATACTAGTTACTAGCACTCTCCTTCTGTCCTGTGTCGCCACCCATTATGGATAACAACTATAATACTAGCACTCGGCAGGCAGCTGCATATCATGGCAGCTGCACTAAAGTTAATATCAAAATTCTTCAAATTAATCTCCAGAAATCAAAGGCAGCTTCCTCTGAAGCCCTCCAGATGGTAAGGGACCAGGACGTGGACATCTTATCTTTCCAGGAGCCATATGTCTATGGCAATAGGGTGGCTATGCTCGGTTATAACAGGCTCTACTCCACTTCAGTCCTTGGCAGGAGGCCCAAGACAGGTATTATTATTTACAACAAGCATATCATGGCCCAACTTATTGACCAACATTCCAACGAATATTTTACTACCATCAGTATGCAAACACAAAGGGAATCAACTTACATCATCTCCTTCTATTGTGCACCAAATGATGACTTTACCCACCCCCTGAACTCTTGAGTCAGGCCGTGGATAGTCTCAAGGAGATCCCCATTTGGCGTTGAAATCCCCTCCCCAGTGATAACCCACTGGTTATCACTGAGGATTTCAACGCCAAATCTCATCTTTGGCACAGCCTGACACAAGACCCAAGAGGATACAAACTCTGTGAGTTCATTGCAGAGTTTGATCTGGTCTCCCTCAACAGCAGCCCCTTACCCACCTTCTCTACGGCTACAGAGAGGAGTTTGGTGGATGTCTGTCTGGGGAATCAACCCCTCCTCTCCCGCAATGTTAAATGTAATACTATGGACCTGGTGTCGGCCAGCGATCATAATTATATCCTAACTACCATTGAAAGCAAAGAGGTTATGGTCCAAAGGACTATAATTAACCAGACGGATTGGGAGCTCTTTGGGTCTTGCCTAGCTAACAGATGGAGACCGATCTCCATGGTTAATATAAACAGTAAGGATGAGATAGACAGGACTGTACAGACGCTAACTGAATCAATTCATATGGCATATTTTGAAGCAACAACAATCAAGGTGACTAAACTGAATGCTCCCTGGTGGAATGGGGAACTAGATAGGACGAGAAGGGAGGTAAGAAGGATAAAGAGAAGGTTCCGGAAAGAAAAAGACCCGGAAAGAAAGGAACAAAAAACGTTGGGAGTACCAGGAAAAATATAAACAATATAAGCAAATGATCAACAACAGTAGAACAAACTCCTGGAAGGAGTTCTGTACCAGGAGGTGTGGGGGAAAACCCTGGTCTGTCCCTTATTATACTGTGAGTGGAAAGGGTAAAGCAAGTTGCACCCCCCAACAATGGCTAAAATGGATGGCTCATACACTGAGTCCGTCGAGGAATCTTGCGAGTTCATCATGCAAGAACTCTTCCCAACGGACGACCCAAGACAAGATTCCAGAATACAAAAATCTATTAGAAATATAGTCAACACCTACCGGGCAGATCACAATGAAAAGCCGTTCAGTGCATTAGAAATTTACCGTGAATTTAGAACCATCAAAAAGAACAAGGCGCCTGGGCCAGATAACATCACATGGAGGATGGCCAAAGAGGCATTTGAGGTCCTCCCCACCACGATGCAGATTTTATTTAATAAATGTTTGGACATTGGGTATTTCCCCACTAAATAAAAAAAGGCGTCAGTGAAGCTAATACCCAAGGACCCTAGGCAGGCCCCAAGGACACCCTCTGACTACCGCCCCATTTCGCTTCTTTCCTTCTTCGGTAAGGCCCTGGACTCCCTAATGATCAGAAAGATCAAGTACCACCTCGAGAAGGCAAATTTCTTCCACCCCCCTTCAATTTGGTTTCCGTAAGGGGAAGAGCACCATCAACGCCCTGGACAACCTAATTGACTCCATCAAGGTTGCAAAGAAAAACGGGAATCACATTCTCTTAGTGGCTATAGATTTTAAGGGTGCCTTCGACCATGCCTGGTGGCCAGAGGTACTATACCAGCTCAGGAACTCCAACTGTTTAGGCAACCTATACAAGATCCTCTGCAGCTATCTGGAGAATCGGAGTGCAGCCGTCTACAACAACGGCACTCTAATCTATGGGAGGTATATCAACAGGGGGTGTCCACAGGGCTCCAAATCGGGGCCTTTTCTGTGGAACACTCTTTACAATAGCCTTCTGCAGTTGCAAGAGGAGTCACCGTACAACACAATGATCCAAGGGTATGTTGACGATACAGTTATTGTCATGTCTCACCCGAATCAAGGGAAGCTCCAGGACAGCATGAACCAAATTTTATCAAAAGTGCATCAGTGGAGTGAGCGTGTAAACCTACACATAAATTATAGTAAATGCAGAAGTATGGTCTTCCCCAAGGCGAACCCCCTCTGCAAAGGCCCCTCGATTCGGATCAATGGGCATAGAATTGGGAACACCTCGTCCCTTAAGTATCTGGGGCTTATTATAGATCATAAATTACTTTGGAATGACCATATCCATTACATTTACAGGAAAGCCACAGCAGTCACCAGCGCCCTGGCTACCATCTGCAGGAACAAATGGGGGCTTAACTACAAAGCAAGGAAAACAACTTATATCGCCGTCACACAGAAGATAGCCACCTATGGCTGTTAAGTCTGGGGGCATTGCACGAACAGGGTTCACACCAGGAAGAAGCTCCTCTCCTTGCAAAGGCTCTCTGCTTTGTACATAGCTAGTGCATACAAAACGGCCCCAACAGACGGTCTTCTTGTCATCTCAAACCTACTCCCCATTGATTTTTATATCCAGGAAAGTTACTTGAGGCATAACATGAAGCGCCTCCTTTATAACGAAATCACCATTGATCAGTTTCATACTAAGATAAATCATCTGGTGGATGGGGACACCATTGGGAATCTGGCCAATTACCTCCTTGAGAAAGGGCTAGACAAAATTGATAGCAGCAGCCCGATTCACCCAGCGTTGGGTCTCAGCTGTGATATTTTGATGAATGGTACTACTCCTCCTCCTTCTGGGCTCCATATTTACACGGATGGGTCCCGGTCAAGTAGTGGGACTGGGGGATCGTTTGCAGTGTATGGAAGGGCGGAGGAAATCCTTCACCAGCATTACTTTAAAATGGATGAACATTGCACCAATAACCAGGCAGAGTCCTTGGCTATTTTAAGGGCCCTGCATTACATAAAGAAGGAACAAAGAACCTTTAAGAACAAGGCTGTATACATTTTCACCGATAGCAAGGTAGTCCTGCACCAGATACAAAATCTTAATGTCAACCTCCCCATTATAAAGGATACTATCAACGCCCTCAACCACCTCAATGGTTCCACAGTCATCACCCTCGCCTGGACTAAAGGGCACTCAGGCAACAGGGGGAACGATCGTGCGGACTTTCTTGCCAAAAAGGCTACACGTAACCTTGGTACCAGCGCATATTCGAAAGTGCCTTACAGTTGGATGGCAAATCAGCTGCTCAGCTACATTCACCAACAATAGCAAAGAAACTGCGACAGCAGCAGCACTGGGAGGACAACCTACTGCTTCTTTCCCCTGCTGGCAAACAGGGAAAGGTTTCACCACTTTACCCCCTCTTATGAACTCACGCAAATCATGACGGGCCACGGAAACTTTAAAGGTTATCTGGCCCGTTTCCTCGGCAAAGGGAATGGGCAATGCCATTGCTCGCTTAATGAAAGGGATGACAGCGACCACATGCTGTTCCGCTGTCCTCTGTACGAGAACAAACGAAGACAACTGATACAAGCTGTGATGCAGGAGAACGAAGTGTGGCCATGTCCGGCAAGTCTTCTTCTCAGCAACAAAGACATTTTCACAAAATTCAATGACTTTATTCGCCAAATTAAGGTGCTCAGCTAACTGTGTGTAGAGGGCAATCTCTCTATCACATGGTCTATATCCTTAGCGCCGCGATTCTTCACCCAGGACTTCAGGCGGCCTTAGTTTATGTCACTAACACCTGCATGCCAACGTCGGGATCTGCTTTATTCTATACTGTTTTATTTTGGCTAATTGTATGGGCGTATATATGTTCAACCCGCTCTAAAGTGTATTTTCTGTTTAATTGTGCTATGTACTTCTGATTATTGTATCTGCTATATAATATCTGGACTGCAATGTCAGTCTAGCAATTGTGATTGTACCGCTATTATTCGGTTCCCAGCCATCCTCATGTGATCCTTTTTCCTCTTCCTTCTCTTTCCCCATTCCTCTCCTCATCCTCCTCCCCCTTTCCCCCCCTTCTTTCCCGGGCTATACGTATTAGTAAGGCCGTCTCTTTCACAACTGTAAACTGTAAACTGTAAACTGTCTGAACGATAGAGACTCTGAAAGATTACCATCAGCTTCTATGCTGATTGTAATCTTTCATTTTTTTCTCCACCATGTACAGAATAGAAATAATGTATCTGTATATAGAAATATAAGGTAAAGAGAAAACTAAAGCATATCAATTTATACATTGCCCTTCGTTCAAAGAAAGCAATATTACATTTTCAATCTTGGCTTTATTTATATATTAACACATTTTTTTAATTATATTAAATGCTCTACTTTTGTTATTATTGCGATTTGATTTTCTCTAACGTTTGCCTTTCTAAAAATTGTTTGTGTTTTTTTATTCCTAGTTAAATTAAATTTATTATATTCAAAATTACATTAGAATTTTATATTCTAACCACATAATGTAATATAACATTTGAGGAAAATTTGTAGAAAAAACCGAAAACCTTACTGATTACTAAACGTTTTTCTTGACAAAATAAATTATTTTATATGGTGTATATAAACTGGGATTTTATTTCTTTACAATATAGTTCAAATTACTTTATAAAAAATAAAATTACACAACTATCGATTGCTGAAAAAATTCTTTTACGAATAGTTTGCATTTGTCTTTAATTCCTTCGATCCATTTAATAAAAATATACTAACCTAAAAATATATAAATCTAATGCCTATAACACATTATATTTGCTACTCACCTTTCTATATATAAGGGTGCAGAAAGCTATCTTTAATTTCATTGCATAGATTTCAGTTATAAACGCATTAATATTATATATACAGAAATACATCGCAAGTACAACAAAAAATCCCGCAACTGTAGCATACAACTTGTATTGATTCCGTTCCTCTCTGTTTTCAAAATAATTTATTATTAATCCTATGAAGTATGCTTGGCCTGCAATTGACGCTGTCATCTGCGAACGAACATAAATATCAGTTATTTCAATTATTTTAAAACATTCTTTATGTCGTTTAAATCAGTTGTCGTAATACCTGAATGAGTACAAGTAGAATAATTATTAAGTATTTCCAACCAACAAAACGTAATAAAGCTTTCATTATGCTCGAATTTTTCTTCTGCAATTCCTGATTCCATTCTCTGAAAAGAAAATACAGTAAAAGGTTATTCAAGCGAATATCTGTTATAACCGGGAATGCTGATATTCTGCTATTCAGAATGTATTTAGACACGTGCTGCGCTAAAAATCCGGAGCCACATTCTAAACAGAAATAGAGAGTGCTTATATATTAGTTACTACATTACAGAAGGAAAATGAAATGTTGATACAAGATAACTATGTAACGTTTCATTTTAAGACTGATACGTGAGTAAATAACGTGCCTAAACAGATCACTAATTTGCAGCAGCGTGCGTTGTCGGAGAATGTACAGTAATGTCTGCAGGAAACAGGGACGTGTAACTTATTAAATTTTGTATTAATTACTAAAGATTATAATATTTTTGCGTTTTCAACACCTAGACTCTCCTGTGTAATACGCAACAGACTAACGAACGTGTACGGAATTCAAAAACTTTTAAATATATAATTAAAAATCTTCTAATTCATATCTTTTCAATACGTAAAGTAAAATATAAATTTCATAGCATTTTAATTGATATAAGTAAAAAGTCGTTTTAAATACTTAGTATTTAATTTGATTAATGATTTTATGATTAATTTGTTTATCTGCAAGTTGGAATAATACAAATTTTTCTAAATTTGTTATAATATTTTTTGTTGCATAAATAGTTCAGTAAGCAAAACGTGTCGATTAATGTGTGCATGTGCACATTTATAAATCTACTAGCGGATAAAACGGCTTTGCCAGGGTAAAAAATAAACGCAACAAAGATTAAAACGAAAACCACATAAACAGTTTTGTTAGTTATCCTACAAATGTCATGCTTGACTAATGAGATTGCAAATATGATATATTAATGTTATTTCTAATGTCATGTTCAACGTATTATACCATTCACAGCCGAATATCAAATTGTAATATTCAAACCACTCATGGTTCGCGAAAAATATGACCAAATAATTAAACTCGGCACCCTCGAAAAACCTGGTAAAACATAATTTGTGCTCGCCGGTAACTTTCCTTATGTAATTTTACTATTCGAATGAAACAATAACACTGTTGCACAGACAAAATGGCTGCTGTGAAAGAAGGTTGAAGTTAATTTGACCGAAAGTAGTCGTTGACCTTATCCCGAAAGAGAAAATGGTAACGGAATCTATTTATTACTGTTTTATTATTATTGCTTAAAAAGTGGTCCGTGTTAGACAGGTTGTGATGAACCGCTCTTGTTCCAAGTTGTTTACCGTAACGACCGAAAGACTTTACAAAAGTCTTGTTTAAATTGCTCTTAAGAGATGACAAAGTGTTAAAGTTATTATTAACTGGATGAATTTAAAACGTACCTGTCGCAGCCATCGATACACTCGGCGTTATAAATCCTAAATTTCAAAAAAATTTAGAAACCAGTTGCTTAACTTTTCCGGCAATATTTGGTGGCGCTGTCCGTTACGATATTTTATTTTAAAAACTTTTTATATTTTTTAACTATTATAAAAAAGCAAAGAGATTAATTTGAAGGGTAGAGACGGATTTTATAAATAACTAGAAGATAATCTCGGCGTTGCTCGGGCAAAAAGTAACGATAGCAAAGACTAAGATTACTACATTACAGCCAATCTTACCCGTTTTCATAGAATGCAAGAATTAGTTACCTTGTTTCCAGACTAATTAGAGAATTTTTAGATGGATCTAAAAATATGTTCGATTTTTCTTCAAAAACGAAAAAAACTGCATCCGCGTTTTGCACGTCGCTTTCTCTTAACAATTCCATTGTTACGTAACACTTCCATTGTTGATGGAAGTGTTAAGCCTTAATCCTGCCCCTCTCCTCCGTGGGGAGGAATTTCAAAAAATCCCTTCTTAGTGTGCGATCTCGTGACGTACCCTAACTGTGTACTAAATTTCAACTTTCAACTCCTAACCGTTTAACATCCCGGAACATTCTGGAATGTCGGGGAACGCTCTCGAATAATCTCGAATGTTCTGGAGTGTTCTAGAAATTTCTATAGGGCGAAACTTCCAGCCCTTATATCTTCAACAACACGCCCTTCAGGTAAAAACGGGAATTTTCTTCATGAATGGGGAATAGAGGGCTACCACACCATATAACTCGCTCGATCGTACCAAGACTCATGTTTGAGTTTTAGCGGCACGCACATTGTACATTTACCTTTATAATATATATTGATGATGATTAAATGTTAATAACAAGTAAAATCGTTATTAGACTCAGCTCGATGAAAAAAGTTAAATAATGTGTTTTGTAGATTACTTTGTCTATAAAAAAGATTTCAAGTAAAAAATTTGAACGAAATCTAGAAAAAGTAAATATTATTTTAGTTGTGAGTCCAGTAAAATTTTTATTGTAAATCAGATAAATATTATAAATTTTAATTTTGCAGTATATTTTTATACTGTTAAGTACTATGCTACATATATT